GCTGTGGAATAGTTGGACACAGCAAACCTCGTGTTGAAGTCCTCAAGAGCTCAGTGTTCTGCACAACACAGCACTGCCTTGGTAGGTCTGCCAGCTTCGTTTAATTGGCTGCAATTATTTTAGAAGCTCAGCAAACAGATTGTTACTTATATAAGCAAATAATGCATTTGACCTACTTATTGTAGCTGTAAGTAGAAGATGAGCATAGCTGTGGATCTGAAAAATGAAGAGTCCCATAACTCTGGATAAATTATTCAAGTCTTTGCATATAGCAACTGCTAGAGTTCTGGTCTAGTTGCTTGTGAACCAAAACAACAATTAAATCAAGGAAACGAATACAGACTATTTTTCTAGATAAAAAAAGGAGTTGAGTTAAACTTAATGTTTCATTAAGCATTTGCTCTTTCTCTAGCTTTATTTCCTTCTTTACCATTTCCCCGGGAAATAATTTTGGAGTTCACTATTTGGGTGCATCTCCCCGTTTTAGAAATCCTCCCCAGAGCCAGGAACTCTTGCAGAGATCAGTTTTGTTCAGTGTCTCTACGAGCACTGGGTCAGAGAGCCTTCCGTGTACCAATGCCTTCTCCAAGAAGTTCACGAAAGTTCAGCAAACGATTTCCCACATCATCGCCCTCGGCTACGGTAGCTGGTAATCGATAGCAGGGTTGCTCCTGTGGCGTTGACTGGAGTCTGCCTTTGTTTACATGAGCACTGCCAGGTGATACCACTGAGATCTTCAGTGCCCTTTGGGCAGCAGGTAACGTGGGAATAAGCAGCTCAGCCCTCAAAGGCTTTCTGGTATCATAGCGGTGTCCTCTACGTACCACGCTCATGTGACATAGGCGTCTAAGGCACCTGCTGATGGGACTTAGCTCTTTACACATACTCAGAAGCATCCTTTTCTGAAGAGAAGGGAGATATTTTCTTCTTACAAGTCAACAGAAATGCTATTGCACTTGCAATCATCCCACGGCACAGCCTGTAGAAAGTGCAGAGCCTCACCATCTTCTGTGTGATGTTCAGGGAGTAGCTACAGTGAAGCTGCAGAGAGGGAGAAGGGGCAGCTAAATGCTGTGACAGCTCTGTGAGAACTGCACCACAGCAAAGATTCTGAGTTGGGAGGTGGTGGGGGCTGAAGTCACCCATCGTTCTCCTTCTGAAACCTAGTCAGTTTGTGGGGAGCTGCAAGAGTAGAGCAATAGCAGTCAGTTTACAGTAAAACACCAAACTGTCTCCCAAGGTGACAGTTAAGGTTCCATAAATGCTGCTATAAACAGGAAGGGCTTAATCATGTTGCTGATCTGTGGCTCTTCCATTGTACTCTATTGTGACCACAGGTAACTCTTCAGTGTTCCAGCTCTGTACGTGTTCCTGCAGTAGAGCCACCAAAAAAACCCAAGCACATACACTTTGTAAATTAATTTCTCTGCAAGCATGACTCAGTAATTCTGTTTGCACACTTTTCATTAATGATACTTGTGGCAGATAAGTTTCCATGACAATTGCCTTTCTATATCGAGAATTCCTTCAGAGTATATAGAGTTAAAAAAAAATTTTATTGTCACTGTTAAACCTTTTGCAAAATCTGATTTGCATAGTGCAGACTTCAGGCTGTCTGAAACAGAATGAACCAGCACTTTGAAAATACTCATTGCATGTGTGGGTGGTGTGAGGATCCTTGAGGATCCTTCTCCAGTCATCCTCCCACTGCTCCCTCCTCAGAGATGCTTCCGCTGGAACTACCATAACTTATACCCCTGTAATGCCATAGATCCTGGCCCTTTATGTCTGGGCATATTAGTTCAAGGATATTTTTCTGGATGGATACTCAGAGAGTGACCTATAAGAAGTTACTGTGAGATTTTTGTTTGCCTCCCTTTGCACTCAGCTCATCAGTTTTCCTGTAAAAGGAAGATGATTCAAATTGACTATTCTTTTCTTACTTATCCAAAGTCTTGCTTTTTCTGCCTTTCCAGAGCTATGCTGACTGACAATAACTTTTAGCCTCAGTGAATAGTGCAGAACAGCTTGATTGCAAATAATTTGTAATTATTCCTCAAATACTCTTTTCTTTTTTTCTTTGCCTTTGTTATCTGGAAAAATCAGGGACATCAATTACTCATTCTTTAAAAGAACTGGGATGTGAAGTTCAAAATATGTGAGAGCATGAGGCTGGGCATCCAGACAGAGAGTTACTTTAATTTTTTTAAGTTTTTTGAAGAACTTTTCACTGTAGGAAAGGCTCATAAGCAGGTTTCAGTGTGCCAGGTGGATACATAGAGAAGTGGAGGTCTGTGGAGCAGAAAACCTGGAAGCCAACCTGTTCTGGAACGTGGCAGTTTGGGGAGGGACTCCCTGCAGCATGCTGATAATCCAGTGGTTTTGATGCATCCTGGCACCTCTGGGTCTGCCCTTGTCTTGCTGCTTCAGAACAAGGGACTGGCAGCCCCTGCTGTGCTGGGAGGAGGCACTGGCAGCAGGGGAGTTAATGCCCTGGGCTGGATTTTGGGAATCCCAGGCAGGTTTGGCAACCTTGGCATACAGAGCGTGTCAGGAGCGGTGGGGTTGGGGCTGAGAGTTCAGTTTTGTGGCCCAGATTCACAGCCCTGAACTGAATCTGGCAGCACAGTGTCTTCAGCCACGGCACTTATCAGCTGCAGTAGCTGAATCGTTGGAGTAGTGCAGAACTAGATTTAACTGCAGGGCCCAATTCTGCTCTCTGCTGTACTGATGTTTAATTCTGGAAGATCGCTCCCAAAGCCACTCGCTTTCCACCACTTTGAATTAGAGAAGAAATCAATCATTTTAAAAGCCAAAAGAAGTTGTAGCCAAAATAAAGGGACCTGAGTACTTTTGAGGAAGTCTCCTTAATCATAGCCTTGAGACATACAAGAAGCATGTCAGTATTATTTTATGACACTGACTTTTAGTCCTTTCATTTTAAGTATAATTTTGTCATCTTTAAATGCCCAAATTGTTTCCAGTAAGAGCTAATAGATTCAGGAGTGGAGAAGAAATATGTACTGCATGAAATCATTGTGCTGAAACCACCTATTACCTAGTTGAATCAATCAGATGGCTCTTTTTTTTCCTTGCATGTGCTCTCCCTCTTTTAGAGCATCTCTTAGGAAAGGAAGAGGTAACCTGCAGGGAAAGGCCTTGTGTCCATGAGAACAGTGTTGTTTTGAAAGCCAGTTTGTTTTTATTTTTGTGACAGAGAGACAGTCTGTGACGTTACTTCAATCTAGTGATGATGTTTCTATAATCATTTACTAAGGTGCATTTTTGTGTGCATATTTTCTGGCTTTTCACAGCATGTGAACATTTGCCTTCAGATATTCCTTGGAGAAGAAAAGATGCATGTCCAACACTGCATGCCTCCAATAACTACATTTAAATTTGCTTTAGTTTTCTGCTGTTGCTTTCCAGTGATAGGAAGCACTGTGCAAGTTTTGATATAACCAAATAAATTAAAAATAAAAACCTTGTGTTAAAAAACCTTTGAACCTTAACTGGCAAAAGATAGATAGCGAAAGGCAACATTAAGGGGTAAAATGACAGGCGAGGCCCTGTGGCCTGTGACGAAGAGATGAATTAAACTCAGGTCTCCTGAGTGCCAATCTTTTGCACAGTTCAGAGGACTGTGCCTTTTTAAATTCAGTTTCGCTAAGAATATTCAAACTTCATCTACAGGGATAATGAAATCCAACCCAATATAAGCACTGGTGCACAAATGCACTTTAAAATCATGTGCAACTTTGAACAAGCAGTTCATTTCATTAGAGCCAGTGGGGTTACTCAGTCTTTAACTTGCATACACATATATATACATATAGGCTCTGTACTACCTTGGAGCTGGATTTCCTCCGTTGAATTATTTGATGTAAATCAGAATCTGTGTATCTGGGATTCAGTATCCAGCATGTTCAGGGTTTAATTAATGAAATTCTATTTCCTTTCACTCCTGGAGGCTCTTTTTGATAGAGGTACCCCTTAAAATACAATCAGATTAATTCCTTCAGCATTTAGAGTCACATTTTTAAGAAATTTAAAAATTTTTAGGGCCCAATTCATTTCATTCATTTAGAAATAATTTGAATCCTATAGCCTCTTGTAGAAATTGGAAGGGAAGAATTTTCCTGTTACTTCTGTTTATTCTGTTATTTACAGTGAACAGCACAATTCATCATATTGTTCTGTGAAATTTAAAAGCTGAAAAACACCCAAAGGACAATTACAAAATTAATTTTAATTTTTTAGATGTTTTCACTCATTCCTTACACGGCGAGCAAACAATAAACAACAATACGACAACACATTTCCGTATTTGTCTCTCCTTAAAGAGTGGAAAAAAAAAAAAATACTCCAGAAGGATAATACCAGAAGCATTTTTGTATTTCCAAAATTAACTTTGAAAGGCAGATTATCTGGGCATGTCTGAAAGCTACGCGTAACCTTTGCGCTACATATATCTCGTTTCAAAAAATGTCATATTCTCGGTAGGGCTTCTGCGAGGCTATTTTAGGCACTGTGCTACTTGCTTGGAGACAAGAACTGAAGTTACTAGAGCCTACATCTCTTGTTTTGCTTGAGGTTTGTTAGAGCTGGGTAATTGCTTGGTAGTAGGGCACTGCTAAGCACGGAGAGTTCCTGGCCGAGCTGCATAAACTCTGCGAAGTTTGCTGCTGTTTGCAAGGATTGTTGCGTCTCCAGTTTACCAGTTCTGGTAGATTGGATGGTTCTGATGCAAACGAGGGGCTGCTAGCACAGCATTCCAAGCTCCCACAGCTGGGGCAGCTCCTGTGAGGGCAGAGGACCACGGAGCAGATGCTGAGTGAATTTTCTTCCTCTGAGCACCTCCTGTCTCTCAAACTCCTCACAGGCCTGGTGGTCACTTGTGTTTGTGTGTCTCTGCAATAGAAGCGCTTTGAGATGGATGTTTAGGGGAAGCTGCACCTGGCACGGAAAGAAATAGTTCTCACTTTCATTTCTTCCACTAGGTTTGGATCAGGACCCATGTCTGCTGATGTATGAGGGGCAGAGTTTCAACACAGGTTACTGGCAACAATTACACCAAGGACATAGTAATCCATGTTGAAAGGCACTTAATTACTCCCTGTTTAGGGCAGACAATTACAACAGTTATGTGTACCACCAGTATGTCAGCATGGTTTGCTTTTCATAGGAGTTTATGCTCCCAGCAGCACTGAATGCTTTTTCTGCCTGAGAAATGTCAAGTACTTCAAGCAATCTTGCCTGTTCCTCTCTCGAGATTGCCAAATGATCTCCTTTCATGGGGTATGGGATCTTGCCAGGGCTTCTGCATTCATGCACATCTATCTCTGCCAAATGTTGGTAACACAGGAACTGCACAAATGCTCCCTGCTCCTTTCATTAGCTTTGCACAGCTCTGTTTAGCTGCAGGATTCCTGGGTTTTTCTCTGTTTTTTCCAGACTGGAGCGGCAGTTCATGATCCATGTTCCATTTTAAGGTGTGCTGTAGAATTCAGCCCTTGCTGTGGAGCCCTGTTTCAGAGTAGAAACCTTTGTTAAATAAACTGAAATGTCTTGCATCATTAGCTTCTTAAAGCTAATTCTGTTTGCCTCCTGAATGTCCCCCTGCATCCAAGGGGAGTTCACGGTAGATTTTGAGCAGTTCCTCTGCTCCCAGTCACGATAAAATGATTCCTTTGTTATATATTCATTTACCTGTGTAATTTCTCTAGGAAGCCTTACAGTTCATGCTTTGTGCAATATATAGGAGGTAGATACCTTTTTACCTTTTAAGGTTTATAAAATAATTCAAGCATTTAGTTTAAAATTGTAATTTGAAAAGTCTAATTTGTCAAGGAAGGAAAAAGATCTCGGTAACACACCACCTCCTGGAAATAGATGGTTTAATAAAATTAACTATGGCAGAGGAAAAATGCTTTAGAAAGAAAATGGAAAGTAAATCACCCTGTCATGTTTTACTCTGTCTTATACAGCGAGATTGGGTCACTTGACCTTTTTGTTGATAATGTCACCAAGATATTTTAGGCTAATGCTACATATCATGCAATGGCAGATGAGGCTCTGTGTGTCACTTGGTACTTGATTTCAATCCATGCAAAAATACAAGACTAGATGGCAGAATGTCAATCATTTTCCCTTGACATTTCTCATTTGCTCATTTGTAATGTAATAACCTGTGAATGTTGTATATGCAAAATTCAGCACCTAAGGACAGGTTTAGACTGTGTGGCAGAACCTCATCAGTTGGATAAAAACTGTGAAAATGGAAGTAGGGAAGAGGAAAATATGCTTTTTCTAGCAATTTGTTTGAAAACACAGCACTTGTAGCTACTTTTGGCTGTTTTTTTGATACAAATATCAGCTAACACTATCCTTGAATGACCACTGGCACAAGAACATCTCATATTTTGATTATTTGTCCATCATTAACATCTCTGCAGATAAAGAGATGAAAGAGGGGGGATGTGGCTGTGAGACAGAGCACGTTCCCAGTGTGGTGCCTGTGGCACAGAAGACCTGGAAACCAGCACACAGAACAGGGGTTTGAGGAATCAGAGGATCAGGAAATGTTTCTGTCTCAGGTATTCATTAAGGAGCATGAAGCACAGGGAACTGAAGACTGGGAGAATCCACTGTGTACAATTTTCAGATGTAGCTAAAACAGAGTTCAGGTCACGTGCAACATGTTCACAAATGATCAGACAGTTTGTGCCGGTCTCATCGACTGTCTCTTCGTTTTAGTGACAGCAATCTGAATAAGATTGCTTTTGACAGGGCTATAAATCAGATTAAGAGAGGTGTGGAGAAAGGATTGAGATCAAGTTTATGTCAGTAGAATATATACAAATATAATTTACAAATGACAGACTAAACAGAAAGGAAATAGTAATTTAGCTGGAAGCACAGCAAGAAAGATCTGCTAGTATTGTCAAATACATCAGGAGTAATATTTTCTTCAAAGCCCAAATGATTCTGGTAGCCTACATCTCATTCCCAAAAGTCTAGCCTAATACATTCAAGAAAATTAATTTGGGTTAATTAAAAAGACAAATTTAAAATGCATTAGGATATATCCACACAGTGAAAAATTATCAAGCTACCAAACACTCTTATCTGTGGTAGCTTTTGCATGTCCCTAGCCTGCTGCAAAGTGGAACACATTAATTAGAATCATCATGAAAGCATAATATAATTTTTTGAGTGTTGGGGTTTTTTTCTGGTAAGATTTCTTTTTCCTTTTGCTTTGTTCTACCTTAGTTGTATGTTTAGCTTAAAGAAATGTTGCTGACAAAAAGTGGTCTCATTACTTCATGTATGTACACAAGCATACATTTGCAGCTTCATATTCCTAAACAAAACTTGTTTATCATCTCCCTCTGCTGCTATGCCTTGTGGGAATTGAACAGAGGTTATTCATTATTTATTATTTATTATTTCTCTGAGCACTGAGTTCACAGTGACAGGTTTGTAGCAGTGAACTGCAAGGAGCAGCAAAGTTTGGAAAGGTGGGAAAGCTGCCATTCAGAACTGGCCTGTAGTATAGGGTTTTTGGGGGGGGTTGTATGTTTTGGTTTTTTAATTGAGAAACTTGGCAATGAGGTATTAATTGCCTTATAGGAATATAAACAAAGTTTAGTGTATGTGGTAAATTTTGTTTCTGGATAAGTTTGTTGATTCTGCTTTGCATAAAAACTGACTTCACCTAAACATTTAATGAGACATTTTATTAACCCTAGCATTTAATGAGATACTTTATTAGCTCTTTATGCAAAGTGAACAAAATGCAATTTCCCCGAGTTTCTTTATTGTTTAATTCATGCAGGATAATTTCTAAGGAACCCTTGACCTCTCATTTCAAATCAATTTCATCACAATGTTTTGATTTATAGTTTCAAAGACAAGGTTCTTATAAATAACCTGTGTGGAAAGGATTTGAATCTGTGAGATATTTTGTTCCTCCTTGACTTCACTGAAATCTTGTTAATGATAGGATAGATTTCAGATAAATTATTAGGATTATCTCAACAGCAGATTTTGCAGTTTGTGTATGAGTGTTTCCTTTCTCGGTCAGTGCTGAGAGAATTGTTGCGCTTTATGCAAGAAGTTACTATAAATAAAAAGGTCTTGCTTCATCACTGTGTCACTGCAGTTACATCACTGTCATTCCAGATTGAATGTTCAGGATCTTAATCGTTCTCTTGGAGCCAAAAGGAGTTAATTTTGAAACTAAATGTTACGTCTTTAGCGCCTCTTCGGATCTTTAAAAGCCCGCAGTGATATTTGAAAAGCATAATATTTAAAAATGGAAAGTCCCCTGTCCCAAAGAGTTTGGGAAAGAACAGATGTCTCGGAGGAAGGGAAGTGCTCACTGACTACTGGAGCATGAGAGCGTTCTGGGGTAACTCTAGGGGTGTTTTGAATAGAGGTTTATTTTTAAAATGTTCTACTGATGTAATACCAGAGAAACCCAATAACAAGCTGGTTCCAGGGAATTCTTTCCAGAATTCTGACACCTAAATGGAGATTTTATGGTCGACAAAGTGTTACATGCTTCTGATTAGTTTATATTTTGTTCTGTTTTCAGTGTCAGCCAAACCAAGACCTCACAGCGATGAATACACAAAGAAGATTCCACCTCCTAAGCCGAAACGAAATCCAAACACTCAACTAAGCACATCTTTTGATGAAACGTATATCAAAAAGCATGGCCCTATGAAGACAACACTCACTAGGGATGCCTCTTTATCGCAGGTCAGCAGTCCTGCTCCAGACACAGAGGAAGAAGAGCCTGTTTATATTGAAATGGTTGGGAATATTCTCAGAGACTTCAAAAAAGATGAGGATGATCAAAGTGAAGCCGTCTACGAGGAGATGAAATACCCTATATTTGATGATGTAGGCCAAGATTCAAAATGTCAATGTGAATATGATCACCACACTTGTTCTTCTCAGTGTGCTACTCCCACAGTGCCTGACCTAGATTTCACCAAGTCTTCAGTGCCATCTACTCCCAAGGGCTTGCTTTGTGATATACCCCCGCCATTTCCAAATCTGCTTTCTCACAGACCTCCACTGCTGGTGTTCCCACCAGCGCCAGTGCAGTGTTCCCCAAATTCTGACGAGTCTCCTCTAACTCCACTAGAGGTCACAAAGCTTCCCGTTCTAGAAAATGTGTCTTACATCAAACAACAACCTGGAGCTTCTCCATCTTCACTGCCGCCTCATACACCAGGCCATCAAAAACTGGAGAAAGACCAGACAGTATCTCATGGAACTAGCACCCCTGGGCACACCTCCTCACCTCCTCATCCTTCTACCTTATACAGAACACAGTCTCCACATGGTTATCCTAAAAGTCACTCTGCCTCACCTTCTCCTGTCAGTATGGGTAGGTCTCTTACCCCCTTAAGCCTCAAAAGACCTCCACCTTATGACTCTGTACATTCAGGAAGTCTCTCAAGAAGCTCTCCATCAGTGCCTCATTCTACAGCCAGAAACACGTTGCAAGAAGGAGGAAAGATGGTAAATGCCTCTGTCAGTACCTACGGGTCATCCTGTCAGAGCGGTTCCCGTTCTCGGACACCCACCAGTCCTCTGGAGGAACTAACCAGCCTCTTCACCTCAGGACGAAGCCTCCTGAGGAAGTCCTCCAGTGGCAGAAGATCTAAGGAGCCTGCAGAAAGTAAGTCCTTGATGTGATTTTTAACTCATTCTTCTTTTTACAATATATCTTTCACTGTATTTTAGTAAATCAAGTGCTTTCAAAATTAGATCTCTCAGAAGTCTGAATTCCTTAAATAAATTTCTTGTAACAAGAAGAAAAACTATTATTGTCAAAATTGCTTTAGTCTTCATATTGTTATATTTTTAAGGTTTTAAGTATGCCTACTGCACTACAGAAGTACAGTTCATGACTTGGTCTTGCAAAAGAAATCAGTTTTCATTAATTTCCCACAAATATAATGTTTCTGTGTGAGTTGAGATCTTTCTGCCATGGCACATCTTTCCCTTCTTGATGGTTGCTAAGACACAGGCATTGTCCAAGCAGTTTGTAGCAAAATAAGCAAACAGTACTTGTTTGTTTGGTTGGTTGGTTGTTTTTTTGCAAAGATTCTGTGATCACCCTTAACTTGACCAGTGATCCTGGCAAGTATGATGCCAACCAGAGGTACTAGCTTAACTTCAGTTAAACCTTGGTCAAAGGCTGGAGTTGATGGCCTTGGAGGTCTCTTCCAACCTAAATGATTCTGTGATTCTTTGTAAACCAATTCCTCTCCTTCCCACTGCCTCCTTCTGTGCTGTGACTCAGAGTATCTCGTTCCGCTGGGCTAGTGGGACTGGTTGGGAGGTTGTGCTGTGAATTGATCTGAAAACCAACATTATCTATAACACACATAGCCTATAAACCCACACACAGAGGAAAAAAAAGCACAGGAGGAAACTGTGCAGGAAAACCTTAAGCCAAATATTGACTTGTCATATGCTATGCCATAGAATCGCTGCCCCACACGCATTCAGGTTTACAACATGTGCACTTCTGAGCTCGTGAAATGTGGAAGCTCATAATGATATCAAACAGGAGTCCCACGTGTGTGTGAATGCAGGACCTTGAAACCGTTTTGCTGTTGCCAAAAATGTTCCTATTCAGTGTTGCCAAAGACAGTGTCTGAAGTCAGTCATGACTTTGAAATCTTGTCACCTGCCTGAAGGAAAAACCCTCTCAGGAGAACAGCTGATCTCATGTTTGTGTAGGTACTATATTATGCCTATTTGGCAGCTCTAATGTATTAAATATGATATGATAAGCTACTTTAGGTTATACCTGATAAAGGAAGGTACTCTGATTTCCAGGCTGCCGTATCACTACTGAAGAGAAGTGAATCCCACACTGCCTTTCAGGTTGTGTTTGTGCCCTTCACTTACATTACTTATCACAGTGTGGTCACATCACTTTGGGACAAGCTCAGGGGGTTCAAAAGAACACCCCCTCTGGGTTTCCATGGCAGAGAAACAATGACTCTGAAATCAGAACGTGGAGGTAAGAATGGACTTAGCAAGATACTGAGAATACTACTTGGCATAGCAGTTTGCTCAATTTGGCTTTAGTATTTTCGTGGCCTGCAACCATTAATCCTGTTTTATGAAAGTCTCAGCTCCATGGGTTTCATTAATTGATTGCAGTAGTAAAAATTCAGTAATGCCAGATTTGTGTGCTGGATGGGAGCAAGTTTGTATCTAAAAGGCAAGATGATTCTTGTAATTGGGAACAGTTGGGAGGGATGTGATGTGACATTTTTAAATAATTTCAGTGAAGCGTTAGATTTTGGCAAAGTGCAGGTAATATCGAACATTATAAACCATGCTTCTTATTCAGAAGTGAGCAGAAATCCCCTGTAAACCCTGTGCTACACCAGATCTACACGGTGAGCTGTATAAGAAGGTTTTATGCTCACCAGTGTAAGCAGGTTTGGAACCTGTAGAAACTCCTGCACCAAGGGAAGTCCTGGGAAAGTTCAGCATATCTGTGCTGCTGTCTCATATCTACCTCCAGAAAGATGTTTTCTGTATTTCCCTTCACTGAAATTAAATGCAAACCTTTCAAGGGGCTAATAAATTTAGACTAAACCTTGCCCTGCAGATCTGTACCAAGAGCAGCTTTCTTGGCCTCTCAAGGAACATTCTGTTTGCTCCTTAGGAAGTAGAAATGTGCTTCTTATCAGTTACAAATGGTAAGACAGCAGAGATATGAAATGGAAACTGTGCTCATTTACTTTAAGAAAAACACGTTTGTGCTATAAATAGGCACAAGTGGTGAAAAGACTCTGGAGTGCAGCTGTGTTGAGTAAATGAACAGACTGCCCACCTAATCCGATTGTAATTTGTCTGGTATTTACAGTATGGCCTAATCCTGTGGGATTACTGCCCTGAGCAAGAACCAGGTTTGTCTTCAGATATTACAGAGGTAGAAGACACTCCAGGATTTATAGAAAAGACATGCAGGTCTAACATTTCATATCTTGAAATGATCCGCCATAAAGAATCTAAATTGGAGGATTTGGACATAACGTTTGACCAGATTGTCACATTTACATGTCATGATTATACATTGTGATAGCAGGGGAGGCTGGACTATTCATACAATATGTTAATGAAACCTTCCTCCTGCAGATCACACTGGCAGCCCAAGGCATTCATACCATTCTGGGTTATGTTTTTTAAGCAGTGGGAGAGCAAATACATAGAGTAGGACTAACTGGGACTGCCATGAATTTATAATTGTCATGTCAGTGTAATTTTCTCTCAGCAGACAGAAAGATTTCCAGAATCTAGAGGATAATGAACACACACAAAATTAAGAATATTTGCCTCTAAAATATAAAATTACTCTGACCACATCTCAAGCAATTTTCTCATTGAATCCTCCAAAACCCAACCCTCTGTGACTTGTCTAAAGCTCCCACTACCATATGCTAGTATTAAAGCACAAAAATAAATTTTGTGTTCAGCTGAGTGCATTTGGAAAATATTGCAGCAGTTACAGAGATAATTCTCTCATCTTTATTGTTTGTACAACTGACTTTGTGAAAGTTTGGCATCTGAGTCCAAACTCCAAGTGTATTTGCTGGCTTTTAATTTGTAGCATTTTTTATTGTGGTGTTTGTTTTTTTTTAAGGAGATGGGACTGTACAAAAATTACTTCCAGTCAACAGCTCTAATATACAGGCAAAGCTGTCCTTTTAGTGTTTCTGTATTATTTTATTCACTATTCTGCTACTTTTCCCTTTTTCTTCCCCTTCGTTTTATTTCTTTAGAGTTCTTTTGCATTAGGGAGAAATTGGGACAAATCATTGGGGTCAAATGGGATGCCACCTCAGGGCCACATTTTCTGAGGATATGAGTTTCCAGACATGTTGCTGAACACACTCAGCACCACTGGCTGCTGCTGTGATGTGCGAGTCTTGATTTTATGAGCATCTCATTTATTGTGCTGTGTTCTCCTAAAAATCCTCTTGTGTGCTCTTAGCATCTTAAATATGCATTACAGCACAATTATGAAAGTGGGGAGAAAAGAACAAAGAGAAGTAAATTGTAAGGCCTAATAAGAAATGAAAAAAAAAAAAAATGGTGCAAGATGATAAAAAAGAAAGGCAGAGAGATGGAGAGAGCCCTACAGAAAACTGAAGAAAGGTGTAGGGCATGAAAAACGTGAAAGGATGGAAAGGACAGATATTATTAATTGTCACTGACAGTTCCTTCACCCTTCTTGCTTTTATGTGGGACAACATTGTGTGCCCTAACACTTGGTTGACCCCTGTGAAATATAACTTCAGTCCTCAAAGGTTAGAGGGAAACCATTTAAAGGGTTCCAACACTGCCAGGTGTCCTCGGGGGGCTGCAGTGTGTCCTTTTCTGATGCTTCTGATGCAGCTGGAAGGTGTTTAGGTGTGACCACTCAGTCCACCTGTGCTGAATGACACATTTCCCTTTGTTGTTGCTGTGAACACTGAGTGCCTGTGTTACGTGTGTCCTCCTGTAAAGAGGGAAAACTGTGGAGGGAGAGGGAGGGAATGGTCTTGGGGTTTTCTGCAGCTGTGTTTGCTGCTTCTGCCTTTTCTGCAGCATAGAAACACGCTGTGCTCCATGATAACACAGCGCTAGAGTCATGTGCCTAAGGCATACCCACAGCCTGAAGAGCACAGCAGAGAAGCTGCTGTGCATCTGCACTGCGTTGGCTTTAAGGCTGTGTGTGGCTTCAAGTCTCTCTGTGTGAGATGCTCTTGTAAACAGTCGTTAGGATCAGCCTTTCTTTTTGTGCATTTGTTGTTTCCTTTTTTCCTTTTTTTTTTTTTTTTTTTAAGGCTTCAGTTTCGTCATGGTTTCCTGGGAACTTCATGCCAGTTTTGAGCAAATATTGCAAATATTCATCCTAACTGCACATCAGAATAGGTACCTCAGCTGTGTGCCCTGACTGTGCCTGTGCATGAGGTGCAGGATCAAGACACAAGACACAGAGCAGCTGGTGGGTTGTTTTTTTTTCCTAAGCTGCTCTGCAAGACTTTGGAGCTGCTTTGGCTTTTATTCTTTTTTATTTGTTTTATTCTTCAACTTCTAGTTACATATAGGGAGGAAGTTTGTAAATGTGCTACTTTGAAAAATCAGTTAAAGTGATTGAAAATTGGCATAATTATTAAGATTTCCTGTTCCTGGCTGGTACACACTGAATTAGGAATCTAAACCTGTCAAATAATGTGGGAGGGGAGGGGTGCTGAAGTGGCTCACTTGCTACAAAGGAGCTCAGGCTGATTTCAGGCAGCTGAGACTTAGAATGGGAAATTTTCCTTTTTTTGGTTGGTTGGTTTGGTATAGTTTTTGTTTTGGGGAGGGTGTTGTTTGGTTTGTTTTGCTTTGTTTTTGTTTAATGGCGCTGCTTTCCAGGAAGCAAGAAAGCCCAAAGAAATTGTGGATGTCCCTCCTCTGAATGGGATGAGACCTGAGCAACCTGATCTAGTGAATGATATCCCTGTCCATGGCAGGGAAGTTACAATTAGATGGTCTTTAAGGTACCTTCCAACTCAGGCCATTCTGTGATCCTAAAGAAGCTTCAGATTTCTTATTAGATAGAACAGTATGTTGGAAAAGAGATTTTGAGAAATGCATCAGGTGAAAATGCACTCCATGTGG